TTCCATTATGACTTCTAAGGTTCTTCTGAGATTTTCTTACTGATTTCATCCTATCTATAGAATTCAAAGGTCTGTGAATTTCAGCTTGTTGAAAATGATGAAACTGATATAAAAACAGAGGTTGTTTTGCAATTAAAAACAAAGGTAATTACGGAGAATGGCCAGGTGCCAATGGCTCACACCTGTAATCCTAGCTATTCAGGAGATTGAAACCTGGAGGATTGTGTTTTGAAACCAGCCCTGAGCAGAAAAATCTGTGAGAGTTCATCTCCAATGACCCAGCAAAAAGCAGGACTTGAGCTATGACTCAAGTAGTAAAGCACTAGCTGAGGAACTGTGAGGCCCTTGAGTTCAAATCCCTACCAAAAGAAAAATTATATACTTAGAATGTTTTTAGGATAATGAAATGTCCTACTTAGAAGTCTACTGACTTCTATATTTAAGACATAAACCTTATTAGTCAGGGTGCTGTTAAACACTGGTTTTAGTACTTACACCTATTCCAAATGGTAATGTTTTGATGTTCTATTGATTGCCAAATGATTTGTTGTTTTTGATAGAACCTTGATTTTTGCTTCCTTGTATTTTTCTGTATAGCATTTATTCATGTTGGCACTTAATAGTTAAAAATCTCCTTTTAAGAGTAAACATGTTAAGGAAATAGGTACCATCATCCTAGGTCATAACTTGAACAAAATAACCACTGGGAGATGAAAAACATGTGTAGTTTTGTTTTACCTTGGGTTCTTCATGCTTTGTTTAAATTGTTAGTAATTAGAATGGTGTGTTTTGCCTTTGAGGTATTTTTGCATCATTGTAAATAGTTGGTTACAAGGTGTTCCACTGTGGCTTTGTGACATCAATACTAGGAATCTTCAGAGCTGAAGTCATCCTAAAGCACTTTATTTAAGGGCCTACTTGCTTGCAACTACTGTGGTAGTTAGCATTTCTGAATTCTCTATTAGTCTGCACCTTAGTCTTGCTTTTGTCACACATCTGAATGTGCCACCTGTCCACATGTTTGAGGCTCTATGAGGTGTCAGCATTAAGTGAAGAATAATATAGTTTGACATAAGGAACAGGGAGAGAACTCTACATGCACTTATATGTAGCTATACAGACCCAAGAAAAACTTTAAAATATGCTATTTTGTCCATATTTGTTCTCAAGGAATAAAAACTTTAAGTACCCCTGACTAGTTTCTCAGAAAACCTAAGAATAATCTTACAAACCATGATGGTTAGTAGATTGAAGAGCAATAATTTGTAAGGTCCGCGTCTCTGCCACCTCCGCTTCGAGTAAGGGGATTCATAGACTCTCCTGCATCCTGCTTTCCCACCAGGAAATAATTTACTCTTTTATGGCATACTTGTGCCATTTAAACATTGAGTCATTTGTGTAGTAATGTGTTCCTTTCCATTTCCCCTTCCCACCATAATTGCATTAGCTACCTGCTTTTAAAAAATGTGAACAAAGTATTATATCTAATGTAAGACAGATTTGAATTTGATTATATTCATAATGGTCCGTGGGTGGTCCTCTTTTTCTGTTTTCTTTTCTTTTTTCTTTTTTAACCAAACCATCGCATTAGCACTATAAAATAGAGAATTATTAGGACCTAACATTAGGTAGCAAATTAGACCGATTGTGTCTAAATATTTTAACACTTTTGGTGCAAAAGTAGGCTTAAGTCAATTTTTTGGCCCTATTCCATCAAAAGAATTATATCCATCTAAGCTGAATGTAATCCCTGGTTGCTGAGGGATGAGTTATTTTCCACATTTTCTTTTAAGGCTTCATAAACTTTCTAGCACTACAGAATTAATACTCCTTAAATAACAGATTTGGTTGGTAGTTTTTCTCCTTCAATGTAAAAAAAATGTTGAGGAGATAAAAATGAGTAGATTCACATAAGCATTAGAAACAGTTTTAATTTCTGCTATAATTTTTTGGGTAACTGGATATTTGTTGTAGTAGAAGAGAGGTGGAGAGAGATTATGTTTTGGTTTGATGGTTGGTTTTGCTTTGGTCTTCTATGTCCTAAATATATTTGAATAAAGAACACGATATGGAATTAGACTTAAACTTTTGAGCGAATTGGTTTTTTTTTCCTCTCAAACAAGAGTCCATATAGGAACACAACTATAGATAAGCTAGGAGAACATTATGTTCAATTGACGAAGCCAGTCATCAAAGTCCACACACAATGTGAACTTATGTCCATGAACATTTCAGAAACAAACAAACTCATCGATGAATGCTGGGCAAGTTTTAAGGGCTGTGTAGTGTATGTGGAGTTCCTTGTTTAAGTAATGAACAATTTACTCTGTAATTAGACAAAGTTACTCCACTCTGTGAATATGCTAATGATTACTAAATAACCCCGAGGCATATCAGGTAAGAATCTTGATTTGTGCACCTGGTCTTTTCAACAACCTAAACAACTCAGGGTGATAAACTGGAAGCTCAGATATAAAACCAAGCTTGAAAACCACTGGCCTAAGAGATAAAAATGTTACCAATGCTGGGCTTGGAGATGGCCAAAGTAAAAGCTAAAATACATGGCTTCATTTAGTAGTTCTTACTAACTGTCCTAAGAGCAGACAGAGAAATGATTGGGTCATACATAAATGCTTATCCTTACACAGAATCTTCTTTGCTTTGCATTTCTAATGTAGAAAGTATCTTCCATTTTTCCCTCTACACAAGATAATAAAGAGAAATATATGAGCTTGGCTGTCTGTAGTGTGATAGTCAGTGCAGAAGGGTGAATGTTGTTTGCTTGGTTTATTTCCCAGTCCTAAGTATTCCTTCTCTGAACAGTCCCTTCTTTATCCTCATCTTTCTTCTTTTCATTGTTCCTATCCTGTCCAGTAAGATCTTCAAATCTACAAACCACCATTGCTCACAGCAACCCCGTTCCTCCAGAGCTACCTTGAGCTTTTCATTAGTAGCTTTTCACTGGCACATCTGGTTCATAGTTTGGATGATCTAGATCTCTGTAACTTCAGATGATTATAGTTTATTTTCAGCTATTCAGAAAAAAGCGTGACATTGTGAATCTAATGGCAAGTCCTGATGAGAGCAGGGGCTGTCCGTGCTGGACAGATTTGTTTAAATAATTTGACAATTGATTAAGTTTATTATAAATAGCTTGGGCTTATTCAGACCTCTTTTCTTGTTTAGCAAGCCTAGAAAAGAATGAAAAGTTTCCCTTGTTTATTAGAAGCAAACATAGTTAGATGGAAAGGGAGCAGATAGAAGGTAATGCAGCTCTATGCAAGTTCACACAGAAAACTGGTTATCTACATGCAGAGGACTGAAGCCAGACTCTCATCCCTCACCTGTAGCAGTACCAACTGCAAAGGAGCAAAGATCTGAATGTAAGACTCTGGCTTTGAAACTACCACAGGAATATATAGAGAAAGCCCTGGAAGATAAAAGTACAGGTAATTCTTTTCTGATGAAGACATTGTAGCTGTGGAAAGCAAGAAAGGACACATCAAATTAAGAAGTTTTGGCAAGCAAAAGAAACAATTACCAGAACTAAGAGACACCCCATAGAATGGGAGAAAAATCTTTTCTAAAACTAAAGTTCAACAGATAATGGATGAATATGTAGAATACATGAAGAGCTCAATAGATTAGCAATAAAACAAGTAATGCAATTAATATATGGCAAACAGACAGTTCTCAGGAGGAGAAATATGAATGGCTAATAAGTCCATGAAGAAAGTTCAGCATCCACAGCCATAAAGGAAATACAAATAAAAATAAGTATATGTCATATACATCTTAAAGTTTCCATTTCCTAAAACAAGTTAGTGAGTCTTAGACATTCTTGTCATGGAGGAAAAGAGAGAGAATGGAGACCAGGAGCACACAGCAGAGGAAACTCTGCCTATCACTCAGGCTATAACTGGAGGAAAATCTTCTTTATAAAGATATGAAACTGGGGCTTACTCAATGGTAGGTTCAGCATCAAATTAGAAGGCATCATCAATGTGTTCATTCAGTTTTGTAATGAGTCTTTACATATATCTTCAGAAGAACTAAAGTTGGTATCTGTGTTGTAAAGACTAAAATTGGTGATACATGGAAAACTGGGGCTTTGAGAACTATTTGTGGGAAAAGATAAGGAGAAACTACTACAAACTCAAGTCGGTGGCAATTTCAGCACATCTCAAGCTAAATGATTATGAAAACTAATCATCTTGAAATGTCTAAGGAAACGATAATGTTGTCCATCAACACTGACAATCTATTCTATGTCTGCATGGCTGGGAATTATGACACTAATTCTACGTCTGCATGGCTGGGAAAGGACAAAGAGAGGATTCCTTCCAAGGCAGCCCAGTATGGAGCCTGTTCTCTCTTGGCTCTTCTTTCTTCCTTTCCCTTTCCCTTTCCCTTTCTCTTTCTTTCCCTCTCCTTCCCTCCCTCTCTCCCTCCTTCCCTTCCTTTCTCTTTTCCTTCCTTCCTTCCTTTCTCCCTCCCTCCCTTCTCTTTCTTTCTTCCTTTTTCCCCTTTCCTTCCTTCCTTTCCTTTCTTTCTCTATTCTTCTTTTCCAGTGTGGCTGTCAGCTGGCTCATATGTACTAGAATGCATGTGGAGCACCAGTGTGAGCAGTCTGCTGTCCTCATTTCTCACCTTTGTTAAACAATACCCAGAGTATTTTACCCTGTTGCCACCATGCAGTTCATTTGTGATAGGTCTCAGCCAGTGCCATTTCCAAAGCTAAGCTTCCTTCCTGGCCCAAGTTGAAAAATATTGGGAACTCTCTGTGCCATATTTTCACCAGGAAATAAAAACAATAAACTCCTCGGGATATACTTGGGATGAGTCCCCACTGCTATGTGTTTTCATGATATGCATTGTATCTTATTCCACAGAACGTGGTAAACTACCCCCATGGTCTGGCATCTAACTCACTCCTGTTCCGATTTTAGTATAGTTACTCCTTCAACCTTAATGAGAATTGTCGCTTCTTACCCTTGTAGACAACATCTGGAGAGGATGTGCGAGACTTCACCAAGGTGCTGAAGAACAAGTTCAGGTCAAAGAAATACTTTGCCAAACACCCTCGGCTTGGTTACTTGCCGGTCCAGACAGTTCTCGAGGGGGACAACTTAGAGACGTGAGTTCAATTTAAAATGAATATGTATGATATTGTCTCTATCTGTTAGGTGGTACTGGGAACTTTACTGAGGGCCTTGCACTTGCTAGGTAGAAGCTCTACCCCTTCGCCATGTTCCTGTCGTTTTGCTTTTAACTTGTTTTTCAGGTACTGTTGTATGCATTAGCCAAGGTCTGCCTCAGACCTCAATCCTCTGAAGCAGCTGGGATTACAGGCATACATGACCATGCCCCACCCATGGCTCTTTTATATGAAAATTAGCAACACCAAAGAGAAATCATTTGATATCCAAAAGATGTGTGTCCTGGTAAAAATGTTCATTTTATAAGAGGTTGAGGATACAATTAGTTTTTTGTTTTTTTGGGTTTTTTTTTTGGGGGGGGGTCTAGTCTGGGCCTGGGCGCTGTCCCTCAGCTCAAGGCTAGTGCTCTGCCACTTGAGCCACAGCGCCACTTCCGGCTTTTTTCTTTTTGCTTATGTGGTGCTGAGGAATCGAACCCAGGGCCTCATGCATGCAAGGCAAGTGCTCTACCACTGAGCCACCTTCCCAGCCCCTACAATTAGTTTACCAGCCATGAGTTTTCATTATTTTTTTTGATGATGTCACAGGCCTAACACCTTGAATGTTTCTATATTGGTCAACTCTTGTTCTGGTTCATCTTTTTTCCTTTTAAAATACTTTCATCTGGGGTGAACAAAGGAAGGCATTAGCAAGACTCTGCCTCAAAAGTGAATGAAGGGGGAGGGGAGGGAGGAGGGGAGGAGGGAAGGGATGGTAAGGGATAAACAAAGGAAGGGATAACAGTGCTCCATAGGAAATACACTCATTACCTGGCTCACTCGTGTAACTGTGACCCCTCTCTACAGTACCTTTATAATAAAAAATATCTATTAAAATATAATGTAAATGAAGGACTAACTACAATAAATGAACAAATAATAAAAGTAAAACAAAATAAACAAACAAGATAATGAATGCATAAGACCAGCCAGGTGCCAGCGGCTCACACCTGTAATTCTAGGTACTCAAAAGGCTGAGATCTGAGGTGTCTGTTTCCAAGCCAGGCCAACAACAAAGCCAAGAAATTTTCATCTGCAATTCACCTTCAAAAAGCTGGAAGTGGAGATGTATCTCAAGTGGTAGGGTACCAGCTTTGAACAAAGGAGCTCAGCAAAAATGTGAGATCCTGAGGTCGAGCATCATTACTTGCGTGCATGTGTGTGTGTGTACATGCACGTGCATGCGCACGCACAACACATACGTCAAATACCAGCATCAGTACGCCTGCCAAGACCATTCTCTTGGGCTTCATGTGGAGAAAATGAGCTGGTATTGCTACTTGTCCGCAGGGTGGCAGTTAGAGAACAATAAAGTTTTGGCAGAAGAAAAAACCCTCAGATGAGCATAAAGCCTGAAATTTTCTATTTCATGAATAGAGAAAATTGCAGTATATGAGTATGGATTGAGTGAAATTTTTGCCAAGTAGAACTTTCTTTTAACTTTCAAAATTCATAGTTCATTTTATTTTGTATGTGAAAAACAATCAGAAAACAGTAATGATGTTATTTGTTCAGATGATCTATGCTTTATAGATGTCAAAATAGCAAAATAGATGATTTGGCCTACTTTCTTTCTTAAAGACCAGGAACTTTATGTGTATTTCTCTTTCACATGACCAGGTTCATATATATAACACACAACTAGAGCATGAAAAGCAATTCAACTTTTCCAATAGCTAGTGGACATCAGACTATACACTACGCGTTCCTGATTGTTTCTGTGGTATACTTTGCAGCAGATTTTATGAAAATGATATTCCTTTAAGGAGAACTATTTAAATAACTTTTGGAAAATCAAATGGTTGGTTCATTTGTTTGTTTAATGAATATGCTTTTTGCCTTTTTCTTAAAAGGTTGTATGCTAATCATTATTTGTTTTAGTGCCACAAACAGTCTTAACTGTGCTGAACACCTTATGAAAAATTGTTACTTCTATCTGTATCAGAGCCAATTAACCTTTGGGCTGGCTATTTGGAGCACAGAAGTATGCTTGAATTTATGAGATGATTTGATAAGTTTGAACTGAGCTATGTGCTTTGCACTCTTTGATACACCATTGACACCCGTGTCCCAAATATCTACAAGGTTACTGTGAAGCATGCAGAGAGACACATATTTGATGTTCCTTTTACACATTTTTATTAGGCCTCTTGATGTCAAAATAGTCATTGGCATCAAGCATTCAGTTCTGAGTAACTCTTTTAGAGGAAAAAATTAACAGAGAAGAAATACCAGAAAATGTGTGCTCTGATTTTGAGGCATAAGGTGTAGTGCTTCACCTTGCTTAATGTAAATTTTCAATGAAAAGGAAACAAGGGCAAGAAAGAAGGAAGTATAGGCTTTGTGGCACATGCTTATAACCAGCACTCAGGAGGCTTAGGCAGTGGGTTGAATGCATAGCCTGGGCTGCATAAGTAAGGTCCAGGCTAGCTTACCTGGCCACATAGGGAGACCCTGTCTTAAAAAGAAGGAGGGGGGGAGGTAGGAAGAAAGGGAGGGGGGAGAGAGAGAGAGAGAGGAGAGAAGTGAGGGGAAGGGAAGGGAAGGGAAGGGCAGGAAAAAGAAAGTAAAGAAAAGGAAAAAGAAGGAAAGGGATTGAGTCAGATGCCAGAGCCCTACTGGAAAAGATTTATGGATTTATGGGGTACTGGATATAATGAGTGGGTTTTCTTCATCTTAGAATCCTAGCTGAAACTCCAGATTTGTTATGGTTCATTTTTCTGCTGAGTCTTTTCTGGTACAGGTACACTTAATCTTCTGGTGTAACAACTTGTATAAGTAGTTAGTTAAAAAATATTGATTTTCTTTATTCTCCTATTTGTAGGAGGAGGGCATTAGTGAAAAGCCAGTGAAGCGGTAAAGGGCTTGAAGTTTTTTATGGGGCCTATTGTATTTTATTTGGCCTCTTTTTGCTTTATCCTTGCAAATCGCAATGTTTTATCTTTTGACCAGTAATTATATGTGCATTCATGAAAAGGATTTATGAGTGAATGAGTAATTACTAAAAGGAGTAAACATATCCATGATAACGTTTATTCATTTAATTTTATAAGTATATATGCAAACCTTTCTAAATATAAGCAAGTAAAATTAGAGAATGTACTGTTAAAAATAATAAACCTGACAAACTAAACAAGTGACAACAGCTATTTGAGAGTCATGAGAAATTATTGGCTAAAAAATTAGGTTTGTTTCCCTGAAGATTAAAGAAAAAAAAAAGTGAAATAGCTCCATCTCTGGTATAGCACAGGTAAGTTTCATAGCTTCCTAAAGATCTGAGGAAATGTAATTTGTGAGGTGGGCACCCTGGATTGGAGGCAGGGACCTGAAAGTCGAATAAGGCCATCTACAGAGTGTTTGATGGTCTCACAGGAGGGGGAGAGTTTCTGGGCATTTTTCAAAACCTGGATGTATGATGGCTGGAAAACAAGGCCGGGAAGCTAAGCACAGTGGAAAGAATGAGAGCGGAGAAAGCAATGGGAGCCAGACCACAAAGGATGAGCCAGGTGTCTTGAGAGGATTTGAGGAGCCAGGGAGAGTTCCTCTGGAAGAGCAATGCTGGAACCCTAATAAACTGCTGTGAAACAAGACAATTGGAGAAGACGAAACACAGAAGTATAAGCAGGGGACTGCTGGGAATTGAAGGCACGGAAAGAAGCACTAAGCTCATTGGGATTGGGCTATGTTTCATATAAGAATTATAATTAGTAGAGTTGATCCCTTGCATATTAGAATGGGATGCATCAAACCACCCTGCTCAGCCACCACACACAATGAGTCTGAATTATGACAGCTGGGCTAACACAGTTTAGTCTTATCATTATCTATCTCTATGACTGATTGGTTAAGGGATGGATTGGCTAGTTCTAGGAATAGAACCTAAGGCTCCTGTATACTAGGCAAGTGTTGTATCACTAAGTCCTGACCTTATTTTCAACCCCATTCAGTTGTAGGTTCTAACTGTCCAATGCCTTGATTTTTCACTTGAGAATTAAGTGTGAAATCTCATTACTTGATTTTTTTTTCTGCAAATCAAAATGCTCTGAATTGGGCTGGGAAGGTGGCTCAGTGGTAGAGCACTTGTCTTGCATGCTTGAGGCCCTGGGTTTAATTCCTCAGCACCACATAAGAAAAAAGCCGGAAGTGGCGCTGTGGCTCAAGTGGTAGAGTGCTAGCCTTGAGCTGAAGAGCTGAGGGACAGCGCCCAGGCCCAGAGTTCAGGCCCCATGACCGGACCCCCCAAAAAAAATTTTTTTTGAATGTTCTGAGTTCAAGGAAGCCTATTGTTTGATTTTTTTACATCTGTTTCTCAGAAATTTTCCATAACAAATAAGCTTGAAATATTTTTTAAAACTTTACTTGAGTTTTTTGCCCTTGCCATTTTTATCTTCATTCATAAATGATTTTTGTACTGACTTTACACAGACCAGTCAATCAAGTTTCCACAAAGCTTTTTCAAGGTCCAGGACAATAAAAAATATATATAAAAAAGTACAATTTTTCTTCTGTGTTTCAGGCTTGTGTTAAGTTTTGCAGTACACTTGAATTCCAGAAATGATCCCTTATAATGGTTCTGGTTCTAGAAAGTATAGCAAACCTGTCACCTCCTACTTCACATCCCTGTGTCAAGCTCATGAAAAGTACTCATGAGATGTGGTACAGAATACTCTGTTGTTTGATTATTTCTTTGTCTGTTTCGCTCATGTACAATTAAGTACATTCACAGAATATGTATTCTGGGAAACACAGTGGATACATGCCCATTTTTGACAGACCATTTGGGAGGCTTAGTTTTTCCATCAAGTAAGAGAGCTTCCCATCTCTTTCTGGTCTTTGCCACAGACACACAGACACACACACAGACACACACACACACACACACACACACACCTTGCACTTCACTGTAGGAGGTGATGAGATCATTAACCTTTTCTTAAGTACGTACACATCACAGAAAAAGAAGGAAGTATAGAGTCATTTTGCTTCAGTCAGCATTAGCTTTTGCAGGAAACTTTAATGAAATAGACAACTAATTATTTTTGAATATGTTTAAAGTTCAGCATTCATTTGTTTACCCCAGCTCCTTCCCCATTAAGTTAGGGTTTGGATTTGTTTCACATTTGGAACCGTTGTTCTCAAAGATGTCTCATGGAGACTGGGGACTACTGAGAGAGGTACAGGGGGTTTGGGTTTGTCCCCTGTGCAATGATCCAGCCTTAGACAAAGTGCATGGTTCAAGCAAAACACATTGTCCCATGTCCATTTTCTAGATTGAACCACTGGGTACGGCTGTGTTGGATGAGTGCGTGTCCTTCTCAGCGAACTTGCTCTCAGTGTACCGAAGTGCTGGGGTGCTTCTGCCCAGATGCAGGGGGAGGCCTGAGGCTTACAGCTGTTTCCCCATAGATCTGTGCAATTGGCTTAATTGACTTCTTTGGGTACATTTGAGCTTGAAGTTGTACACAAAATATTGGATAAAAAATGCAGAAAAAATGTGTTACTTCAGCTCTGCCATTACTATACACACACACATACACACACACACACACACACATATCACATCACCTTTTATTATATTTCTTCTCTAGGAAAGAAATAAAAAAATATGATTGCATCTCCCCTAAGAATACGCTAGAATGCCACCTTTAAAATTATCCTATCATTTTGAGCAATTTTAGAACATTCTACTCTGTTTTGCTAGCCTGATAGTAACAAATATTCTGTGAAAAGGGTCCAACGCCCCTTCCTCCTCAAAGGCTCCCCTGCCCTTCCCAAAGGACTCTTGACATCAAAGCATCTTCTCTAGAATAAGTGGTGACTTCAGTTGCTTTTTGATTTCACCATGGTGAATGGTCAGGGTAGCCACCTGTGAGTGGAAAGCAACTGAGCATCCTCTGCCCCCATTCCCCTCCCCCACATCTGTGTCTGGAATTGCTCTAAAGTGTTTGTTCTGTGGCTTTTGTCTCCCTCTCCCCTCTCTACAGTCCTATCACCCTCATCAGTATGTGGCCAGAGCACTATGAGTGAGTATTCCCAGCCCTTGTGCAGAAGGGTGTTCTGAGCAGGTGTACTAGCACTGGGGTGATTACTTAATTCTTATCTGAAGTACTACCTCTGCATTCCGGGTAACGATTCTGGTGGTGTGTTTGCATGGTGAATTCATTATTTAACTAAACTAACATTCCTGCTAGTCATGTTTACCTATGTCTGGGCATAAATATAGTGTTTTTGTTTGTTTTCTTTTACAGCCCCTCACATTCCCCCCAGCTATTTCATGATGACACTCACTCGAGAATAGAGCAGTATGCTACCCGGTAAGAAACGGATGGGACTTTTGCACTGCCATCCAGAATTGATCTATTTGTGTATGAATCTGATACAGTTAACATACCTTTATGGAAAGAAGTTTGGCAGGAATCTGGGCCATCATCTTTTCATGGGGTAATTTCACGTTACCAAGCACATTGCTATTTATTCTGAGCTGTAAATCTCAGCAGGCAGTGATTACAGAGCTCATGAGAACCCAGACACTGTACAGGCAGGATTTAGATAATGTAACCTAGTTTCAGTGAATGGAAACAGGGATTGGAAGTATTCTCAGGAGATGGTGCACATATGAATTACAAACTGTAATTAAATTTATGCTAATGTTTTATGAGCGAGGCTTGTTTTAGCATCTCCAAACAATAAAAAAAAAAAAAACAGGCTGTTCTGTGGTCCTTGTAAACCAACTAGGTCTAACAAATGCTAGTTAAGCATTATGAAAATAATAACATTTGAAGTGAGTCAAAGTTAACAATTTTTGGACAAAGGCATATTGGGGCTGATGGGAAAGTCTACTAAAAAGCATTGGGCAGGGAAAGAATGTGGCTTGTTTACTGCTCCACAGGAAGGGGTGTGAAGAGTTGAGAGAACGTGAAAAAGAGAAACTGCAGTATAACTCTGGAAGGCTCAGGTACTAAGAGGCTTGGTCCCATGGAAAAGCCATAGTCTTGAAACATGAGACAACATCATTGGATTTGTGTGCTAGAGGGGTTGGGAGATCAATTAGGAAGAATTGGTTCATCAGAAGAGTTTCTAATATGATGTAAGACAAAATTGCCTTCCACACTTGAAGGTAGTGACAATAGAAATATAACTCAAGGTCTCCTGTTTTGTCTGAAGTCTCATAGTCGAACAAATGACTGAGGATGTGTTTCTAGTTGATCCTGTTAATTTATAGGACCACATTTTCTCACCTCCTTATTTTTATTTTTCAGCCTGGCCCAGATGGAAAGAACTAACGGGTCTTTCCTCACTGATAGCAGCTCTACCACAGGAAGTGTGTAAGTAAATCATGAACCTAACCCAGTCTGGAAAGGCTACTGCTTGTATTATGGATGTCAGAAATAATCTTCATGGTCTATGGCTCTGAATTTGGATCCCAATCAAAATTGATAAGTGTGGTTCCAAGAATGTCAGCATAGATTTTATGCCCTCAAGCCATGATGACATAAACTGGATATGTTTATTTGCTTAGTTTTATAGAAGTTGGGGGAGAGGGGTTTCTATGCTGGTCAGCTAATCTATCAGTATAGGATTGTTTTATTCATGCTAATTCTACAAATGTAGGATACATGCTTTGCTTGCAAAATCCTTTCTTTAGCTTGCTTACTATGTCCATAATCTCTGCATTTAGTAGTGCTGGGCCACACATACTGGACACATACCTTCTACTTTTCTTTGAAAAAGAACTTCCTTGCAAATATTTTCTTTTATTGGGAACTGGGAAAAGCCTCATGGCTTTAGGATACCTTTAAAAAGCTTTCCAGCCAGATGCTTTATTTCTGATTTCCTCATTTGTGTGTATTCAACTTGGTTTTAGAATATGCTTGGCAAATAATTTATCTCTGATTACCCCACTCTTGTGTGTCGTATTTCCTTTGGAAGTTTTCAGGGCCTTCTAATTCACGTAAATTCACAATTGGCATATAAAAGTTTTCAATAATGTCAAGTTTATGTGACTTGTAGGTTCATTGGGGTTTGGATCTATCTGGTGGGAAGCTATTAAATGGGAAAATGATAGAACATAGCATAGCACCGAGGTAGTTTTAAATAACAGACTATGGAGAAAGCCAAGTAGAAATAACAAACACTTTAATATAGAATATCTCCTCTTTTGTATTTTAAAAAAATAGTCTATCATTAAGCTTATAAATAAAAGCTCTCAATTTTTAATATCTAGCATTAGTATTTCAGCACTTGACAATGATATAGTAATGTTTTATACTTTAAAAAATTTTTTTTCAGGCACTACAAATCTGAAACAATGTCCAAATTAAGATTAGAATGTATTTATAATGCTTATTTTCTAATGTGCATCTCATATAAACTGACTAAATACTTTAAATATCTTTCAAATCAACATACTTCCCACCAGAATTGCTAAAGAATTACATGAAATAAAGTAATTAAGACCCATATATTTCATCTTTAAAATACATTTGTCTTGCCATGCGGACAGAGTATAGGCAATGCGCCAGCCTACTTTATCCTGCCTTCAAATTCGAGTGAGTGCTAGAGGTAACGTCAGCACAAATGTTTCAGGAAAGACAAAATAGCAATGAGATAATGAACAGCTGAATGCAACCTGACATACTATCATTAAATGTAGTAATTCATCCATTGAACAAATATTTGTTTTATACCCACAGTACAGCCATGTGCTAAAACTGATTATAAGAGGCAGTTGTTACCGGATCCAGAAGTTTGTAAGACATTTGCAAAGCAGACCCTGTATTAAAAATTAATTTGTGGGCTGGAGGTATGGTTCAAGTGGTAGAACACCAACCTAAGCAAAAAAACAAAGAAAAAGTACAGAGCTCTGAGTTCTAACCCCAGTACCCCCCACACAATTGATCCATACATATGTATATATAGTTATAATCAAATAAATTATATTAAAGGAAAAAGAAAGGTAATCCTTAAAGCCCATTATGTCCTAGTTATTTTATTTCATTCCATTCATATTACCTAGGCTCTTGGAGCTATTTAGTATATCTGTCAGGTGGTATGCAACTGTGTGTGTACCTTCAGTCATATCATTAGCCTGAAATTGCCACAGTAAAAGTATGAGCACAGAATGACTAATTAAGGCCTTTTGATCCTTTTGGGGCATTGGTTGCTCACCCCTCACAAGGCCTCCACAGAAAGCTGCCCAGAGGAGAGGAAAAGTGGGCGCCAAGCCTCCCCATCAATCTCTCATCTCAGACACCATCGATGTCCCTTAAGAAAGATAAGCAAAAGGAGCAAATGTTTTCAACTATTTGTAGACATGTCTATTCTGTTACCTAAGGTCAGTTTTCCAAAAATGTGTGGCATATGAAATAATAGATCATTTTAAAAATTAAAAGAATGAAACTTTGGGATAGTTTATATTCCAAAATCATGAGAACCTGGATCAGATCTGTGGTTTTATGGGTATTCTTTAGAATGAAACAAGTAAAAACTAGAGTAGTCCCAATTTAAAGAACTTTAAAAGATTTCATAATCTATGTCTTTGCATGTGGCAGTATTGAGTAAGGTATCATGAAGGGCAGGGAAGTTGGTGATTGTGGATGGGATCACAAAGTGGCCAGTTCTTCAGCCCATCTCAGGAGAATCTGCTCTTTGGGATGATACGTTTCTCTTTGAGTTCCTAACCCCTTTTCTACTCAGAAATTAGAATGTTTATGGCAGGAATTGGTGCCTTACACCCGTAATTCTAGCTAGCTACTGAGGGGGCTGAGATCTGAGGATCATGGTTTGAAGCCACCCCACACAAGAAAGTGGATAAGACTCTTATCCCCAGCTAACCAGCAAAAAGTGAGAACGGTAGGTATGGCTCAAGTGATAGAATTCCAGCCTTGAGCAGAAAAAATTAAATCAGAGCACCAGGACCTGAGTTCAGACCCCAAACACCACAGAGAAATGAGGGAGATTGGGAAGGAGTGGGGAGAGAAAAGGAAGAGGAGGCAGAGAGGGAGAAGGAATGGACAAGGAAGCATATTAGCATGTTTGTGACTCTGATACTTGAGACCATCAAGATTTTAACTCATCTTTTTAGTTTGTTACTGGGAAAGATGACAATTCAAATTATCTTAAGCAAAAAAAGAAGAAGAAGAAGAAGAAAAGGACAGGACACCAGTGGCTCACACCTGTAATCCTAGCTAATCAGGAGGCTGAGATCTGAGGATCATAGTTTGAAGCCAGCCCCAAGCAGGAAAGTCCATGAGACTCTTATCTCCAATTAAACACCAGAAAACTGGAAGTGGCACTTTGGCTCAAAGTGGTAGAGTGCTAGCTTTGAATGGGAAAAGCTCAAGGTCAGTGCCAAGGCCCTGAATTCAAACCCCATGAATGACACCCCACCCCATAAAAAAAGAAAAAAGGAAGAAGGAAGGAAGGAAGGAAGGGGCCTAGCAAATTTCCACAGTACTTTTTCTTGAATTTTCTACTTTACCCCTAGGCCCCTCTTGTTTGTTGCTTGTTTCGTTTCGTTGTTATTGTTTTGTTTTGTCATGTCAACCTTGTCTGTGAAGAACATCATTAGGTTTCTCTTGCATAATAATAGTAAAGATAGAAAAGCAGCCACGTCCCCCTCATTGGTATAGAAAATGCCGAGAGCCAGGCACCATGCTCAGCATTTTGCCTGTCTCCTGAGGAATTATCCTACAAACCCTGTGAGATGAGACTGTTGTTGTTCACATTGTTGACACCATTTTACAGATGAGTAAAAGGAGGGTGTGGTGGAATGGGAGCCTGCCCAGGATCATAGTTAAGAAGTAGAGCCCCACGTCCCAAGCATTGTGGCTGTAGGTATGGCCGTTCCTGGTCTCGGCATGGTGCTGCCTGGGAAGGCATTTCTTTTCCATGAAGCTGCTTGCTTCCTTGTCCTGCTTCTGAGCTCAGGAGCTGCTGATTCCTTAGCCTAGCATGTGAACCAATTTCCCAATTTTTTACCCCCACTTCCCCAATTCTTAATATCCCCTATTTTCTCTGAAAGTCTGACTATAACCATTTTAAGAGAGCATTATGTTTTGAAGATGCTAAGTCGTTTTTGAAGGAAGAACTGAGCAAACCCATTGCAAAGAAGAACAGCACCCAAGATGGTCTTAGAGCAGAAGCTAGAACCCAAAGATAGTCCATTGCCATGGATTTACCTTCCGACCCTATTAGAAGGAAGGATCGATTGATCGATTGTACAGAAAGGCTGAATGTGGTTTCACACCAGAGTTGTTTGCAAATCTTTAGCCTAGAACAGAGCAACTCTTAACAAGAAAGGATTTTTTTTTGTTATTTTTGTGTCTTGTCTCCTTCCAAAAGGTCATTGAATGAATCATGGTTCTTTTGTCATCTGCTAGGTACTAATTTTGTAATCTAAATAGTATTTACTCTGCATGACGAATAAAGTGAATTATATTCCATCTAATGGAGTTTCTTAGTGCAGACCTACATTTTAAAAAATATTTTCTGCTTTAACACAAAATACCCCATTGATGTTTAATGACCTTAATCTAGTACATCAAGTGCTGCCTACAGAAATTGCACTGGGGTTTTACGACATATAATTAAGAACTGCGATGTATCTATTTTTATATTTAACTTTAAGTCTAATCTTATGTGACAAACACATAAGATTAGAATTATATGTTACATAAAATTATTTTTAAGTTCTTTTTTTTAAAAAAAAAAGCCTTAATTATCTTCCAGACACCTTAATGACGAATGCAGTATTAGTGGCAATGGTAATTATAATAACAGATCCACAAATGGCACAAAAGAAATGCATCTACATAAACATTGCCAACAAATGCATCCTGAATCTAACTTTGACTCATTTCATGGTACTGAAACTTTAAAACAAAACATTTTGTTTATGTTAATATTGAACAGTGAGTAAGTGAATCCCAGGGGTCAGGTGCTAACAGTAATGTTCCGAGAGATAAAAGGTCAGAGGAACTCTGTGCCAAAAGCTGTGGTTGAATCACTGCCATGAGACCAGCTGGGTAGCTTCTGGGGTCTAAGTTCTCTTTTTGTTATTGATGTCCTTATGTTACTTCTTACAAGAAAAGTCCCAACTTGGCTTTGTTCTTTCAGATATACTGGCACAGGTCTGTAATTAAACTGTGAGGATCTCTAACTCCTATTTACCCCAACACCTGACAATACCATCTACTTCTGTCCTCTTTTGCATTGTCCTGACTCATTCTTTGATTTGCCAGGTGGACCAAGTATTTAACCTGTGTAATTTACTCACTGGGACTTTGGACATTGCCCATCATCTTTGAACATAGTCTCCTGTGGACAGAAGGAAGCTACGTGTCAGCTTTCCTTTACTATTTTGTATCAATTGCTGATGATGCTTTATCCGTAAAAGTATAGAAAATCTACTGGAACATGTATACCCACATACACACCTATCTTTTTTTTTTTTTTGCTATTCCTTTATAGTTTCTGTACACAGGTTGTTTTCAGTTTGAGAAATATTTACAAAATATTCTGGCTCTTGACCATTTGCTGAGGGTCTCAGATTTTGCTACATGGGCAACTTAGGATCTTTGGGTCTACTTTCCAGTGTTGCCAATCTTCACTAGTCACAAGACCACTCTGCAGCAATGACATGACCATTTTCTCCTCTGCTGGTCTTTTAAACTAAGCATGGGATTCTCATAGAGGCTCTGCCAACTTGTGTGTGTGTGTGTGTGTGTGTGTGTGTGTGTGTGTGTGATGTCTTCAGGAATTACATGGCTTACTTCACCCCTAATCCTGCCATCCATGTGCCCTATGTACAGTTCCTAAATCTGTACAGAAAATATATATGTACATGAATAGCTATATGTATGTATAAGTGTGTGTGTGTTTATGAAGAGAGGAAGAAGGGGAGAGAGTGGAGGTAGAGAACAAAATGAAAGAAGGAAGTGAAATCCATCATATTGGCTGTTCTGCTCTGGCACACTCTCAAGTATAGCACTCATTTTTCTCCCTGGCAATCCTCTCTCTCTCTCTCTCTCTCTTTCTCTTTCTCTCTCTCTCTCTCTCTGTGTGTCTGTCTGTCTGTCTGTCTGTGTCTCTCTCTCTCTCTCTCTCTCTCCCTCGCATCTACATACCCAGAGCATGCCTCCTCTTCTGAGAACTCACTAAGTTGTAGATGTAATTTCAGCCCCTCTCCCCCCATTTGTCAGATTAAACCATGATTGCACAGGACTGGAACTTCCTATCACACTCACTAGAATCAGAGCTCTTGCCCAGTATCAAGTACCAAGGATCAGTTTAAGAGCACAAGCAATTTCAAGGCCCAAGTGAAGTAGAGAAAAGTCCAGGACTGCTGACCCCAGGTTCTTCTTGGATGCCTCAGTTCATGGCCTGGTCCTAGAGGAACACACAGGTTTTCTAAGAGATATGTGCAGCCACACTGCTTACACCGTCATGGGCTAGCTACATTGCTATGCTCTGATAGTCATGACTTAGGTGTTATTTTCCTGGAAGCTCTTTCTAATACATCCATAGATCCCAGGATGTGCTTACCAGAATCAACCATACAAGCCAGGTACAGTCTGTCCTCTGCACTAGCATTAACCAGAAGTTCTGAATTCACCTGGAGGTCTGGCTGGATCTGTCTCATAAGGAAGAGAAGAGCATCCAAGCCTGCTGCAAAATGTCCCCTCCCTATGCATGTATCAACTTTGTCCTACTTCATTATACTTCTGCTTTTATCAGTCAGTAATTCAACCTCATTATTGATATGTCTAGTTCATTAGGCTGTAGTTAGATAAATGGGAGAATTCTAGTGCCTTGAATGTCATTTTAATGCAGAATGATAGGTCCTAAAAATACCTACTGATATTATCAAGTAACATATCTGTGTTTTATAAAGATCTAAAATTCCATTTGTGCTGAATTATTTAAGTGAAAGAATATGAGTATTATAAAGCCCATCCTATGGGTTATAAAACATTACCAAATTGCTTAGAACAAAATGCTAAGGACAAGAGAGTCAGCTTATTTTTGCTCAGTGATGTTTTAATCAGCTTTCAGTGAGTGACTTTTCTCTGTGATAATGTTTATATTAAGTAACCCTTGCTTATATTAACTTATTAGCCTTATTTACATTGACCGCTGCATCTTAATTTATTGTCTTGATTGAGTGAAATTTCTCTCCTGAGATTTGTAAGAAATAGCTGATAGACTATATATAACAGGTGCAGAAAGTTTGTATAGATCAGACACCTGTGTGGCTGGATGTACATCTTGTCATGGAGACACTGAGCTCCAAGACAATCCTGGCCCAGCGACCAACTGGGCATCACTGGTTCCACTTCCTTTATGTCCCGGGTGTCACCATCCGGATGTGAACCTCTGTATCTTCTCCTCTGTCTCACTAGGGAGGACGAGCATGCCCTTATCCAACAGTACTGCCAGACACTGGGTGGGGAGTCTCCCGTGAGCCAGCCCCAGAGCCCAGCCCAGATCCTGAAGTCTGTCGAAAGAGAAGAACGTGGAGAACTGGAAAGGATTATTGCTGACCTGGAGGAAGAGCAAAGGTGTGCTAGACCTGAAAGCAGAAAAAAACAACAACAACAACTACCCATGCTTTTATGTGAAGGTCACCATAGCCCCATCCATCTTTTTTTTTTTTTAATACTAATTAACACACCAGTATGTTTGCTGCAGACCCAGCAGCGTTTGGGGCTATGTTGATGATGCCTTCCTTGAACCCACAGATTTCCTTCCTGCTTGCTCATCTTATGGTTAGTGTGTGTTTGCCATGAGAAGAAATGGTACCACAGGCTAAATTTGGAGTTCATAAAGAGTCTGGGAAGGAAGACAGTATACACAGTGGCAATTCCATCTGTGCCTTTTCTGTATTAGGAATCTCCAGGTGGAATACGAGCAGCTCAAGGAGCAGCATCTGCGAAGGGGGCTCCCTGTCGGTTCCCCTCCCGACTCCATTGTATCTCCTCACCACACATCTGAAGATTCCGAGCTCATCGCGGAAGCCAAACTCCTTCGGCAGCACAAAGGCCGGCTGGAGGCCAGGATGCAGATTTTAGAAGATCACAACAAACAGCTGGAGTCTCAGCTGCACCGCCTTCGCCAGCTGCTGGAGCAGGTAGGAGGTGCAGAATCCAGCACACCCCACCTCTGCAAGGTCCCTGTCCATCTCCCAGAGACCGGGAATTAGTTGAAGTCGAGAGGTCTACCTTCAGTTTCTCGCCTCTATAGCTAATTTAATTTAGACTGGCTTAGATGTCTCCTTTCACAAGTATGCACAAAATCCTCCCTGCCATCAAAACGTATTTTCCCGATGGACAGTAGAGTTTCTTTAGCACTGTAGTCTACCTCAGCTTGGAATAGTTTGTAAGAAAAGTTCCTGCGACATCCGTCTGCCTGGATTGCGTAAGAGAACCATCTGTGAAAATTACAAGACAGCAAGTAACCTAAAAATTTTCATTCTTCCCAGTGACCTAGAACTGCACACTCCAAAATTACTGTTTCCCATTTTCATGAAAGTAACAGATGGTTATTAATTTGCTACTATTATTTCCTAACCTGGGACTGTGTTTTATGGCATTTGTTTGCAAACTTCTTTGACAATAAGTACCGTTTACCTTGTGATGAGAATACACACATGTGATGAATGCTAAATACACTTTCTTTTATAGAGAAGTGTCAGTTCTTACTTTCGATTCTTTCCTCGTCTTTCTTTCCTTTCACCTCCATTCCTGTGGTTTTTCTTCCTTTCTTCCTACTTCCTCGCTTTCCTATATTTTTTCTTCCCTCTTTTTATTTCCCCTTAATACTGAAGATTTCAAAATGCTTAGTGAGTGTAATTTATGGGAAAAGACATTCTGTGGTTTGTAAAGGAAGCTTCAGGTATAGTTTCTGCCTTTCTGGTGCCTGTGATCTTTTCAGAGACCAAATAGGACAGATAGTAGCATGCATAAAGGCATAGCTGTAGGGCTAGGCATGATGATGAATGCCTCTAATCTCAGCTATTTAGGAGGGATAGGAAGGAGGATCACAGTCCAAGGTTAGCCTGGGCAAAAGCACAAGACTCTATTGGAAGAAAAAAAACACTAACAGCAAAGGCACTGAGGTGTGGTCTAAGTGATTTGCTTTGTAAACTTGAGGCCCCAGTACCACCGAAAAGGAAAGGATGGAACTGTCCAATTAGACACTTGATGCAGAGAGTTAGGCATTTAGCCCTAAAGAGTACAACCAACAAAGAAGAAACCTTTGTAGCCGGAACATGCAGGGCAAAATCCCACTTGAAGAATTCCGAACAGCAAAATTCAAGTTATCACTTGTTTTTTTTTTTTTCTCCCGTGTATTTGAGGGGGTGCTTGGCAGTGTGATAGGAATACTTTCCTTCAGAAATCATCGATGAATCAAAGCTGAAGCAATGATTTGCAGCAATTTTTGAAAACCATCCTGTCACTGTGGCTATTGGTCTTTTTAATTCATCAGACTCATTCCAAACATTCTAATCTCTGTACTATCAACAGTCATGTACCATCCATCTCTCCCTATAGTTTGGCCATGAGCTTTTCTTGCTGTCTATCATTCCTTCCAAAATTGTGTGACACTACTTGATAGAACGTTTGCTTCAGGGCTTCCAAATTTGGAAACTTTTAGAAAATAAAGAATGACCTGGCTTTCTGTTCAACCTTAGAATATTCGATTCTCATCTCAGTGTCAGTCATCTAGGTTGCAAGAATTACACTGTTTGTACAATGAACTTGAAGTTTCTGAGGGGTGTATGGATAAGGGAGCAGATTTTTGTATAATCTCTTCTTTAGCATATGAAGTGCTTGCTAGCCTCTTAGTGTGTGATTGACTCATTGCAGAAGAACACTACACTGAATTTTCTACTGTGATGCTCTTAGGTGGGCTGAAGACTCTTTGACTTCCCCTTCCCTCCACCCACCCTGCTAGATAGAGCTGCCTAATGGCTCTTGTGCCTTTGGAATTGCACTGTAATACTTTTGGAGATAGCTGCTATCTAAATGGCTCCAGTATCCCCAGCCTGGAGCTCTTATCTCTTCTTAACCATTAAGTGTGAGTGCCAGAAGTAGATGGAAAATTTAACTCTGATAGTATAAACAGGAAAAGCTCCTAGACTTCAACTAATACAGATTTAATGGTGGGAAAACAACAACAACAACTCTGCATTCAAGAATTATAACTTCTGCATCCTCGATAGAATCCATCAGACTTGATCATTTGACCATATATTTGTCAACTTATCCATCACCATTGCAGAGATTGTACAGGAGTGCATTTCCAATGGGGACTAGCTATCAGACTGCAGGTCATTTTAGAAAAAAACTCATCTATCCCTCGCACCACAAAATCTTGTGACACTGGCACTATTATTACCAAGCTTGTTTAGTAAAGAGACAATTGGTGTGACAAAAGGTTGTCTCATTTTACCTAGATTTACATTGCTTATGAGTGGCAGAGTTGGAATTTGTATTCAAGCTACTTAATCCAAAGTCATGCTCTTCACCAAGAGTGGGGAAGGCAATATGGCCTTCCAATCTGAGATAATTTTTGAGTTTGGGTTAATTTCCTATCATGGAAGCCCAGTTCTAATACTTGAGAGATGAATGTAATACATCACTAAATTCTCTTGATTGATAAAGCGACAGAAAATGTAAGGGGTGAAGAATGACAAATCCTGCTACATAGAACCCTGAGTGATTTCAAGTGCAGAAGAGAGAGACTGGGGCCCCTTGGTATGCTAGGGAATTATCTTCCCACCCAAGTAATGCTGAAATGTGTTTAAAATGGCCTGAAGGCAAACAACTGTGTTGGATTTAATTATGCGTGGTGAGGGAGGGGCAGTCTGAAAGGAACTGTTTTCCCAAGGCTTAGGTGAATCCTTGCTCTGCTTTAATTTCTGCCTGTGATTTCAGCCTGAATCCGATTCCCGAATCAATGGCGTCTCCCCGTGGGCTTCCCCCCAGCATTCTGCACTGAGCTACTCGCTTGACCCGGACCCAGGTCCACAGTTCCACCAGGCAGGTCAGTGGACTCCAGACATAACCATAATGCCCAGGCTGCAGAGCCATTTTAACCATATCCAAAAAGCAAACATTTTAGCTGCACCGTGCTTGCTTCTGTCATGTGTAGGAGTAGATGAAATCTTGGTGAAAGTTGAAATTAAAAAAAAAAAAATGTTCTTTCCTTTTTGAAATGAGCAAGAAATTGCTTATGTGCCTTGAGATGGATTCAATTTTTTTGACAACGAAGCATAATAGGCCTCTAAAATTTTCATATTGGTAACATGGTAAGAGCCTAAACCTAAAGACCATTATCATAAGCGTGATAGTTTTTCTCAGCCCTGGATTAGAAAAGCATGCATCTACATTATCCATCCTAGGCCTGGTGGACATCATCCTGCCATTTGCTTCAAGGCAGAAGCGTTACCCAGACCCTCACTGGTCCGGGGGGGGGGGGAGGGGTTGGGGGGAGGAGATGGATGGGACATGTCACTGATGCTAGGCAATCAGGAATGGCATTTCAAGTCCTGAGACCACATTCTGTAATCAAATTCATGTATTTGTCTTGTAGGATATCTTTTGGTACACAGAGAAAAAATTAAAATATTAGGAACAGATAACTATTGGATGGACAGAGCAAAGTGCTTCCCTAGCAAGTGCAGTAGGTCCTGGGTTCCATCCCCAGTGACAAAAAATGAAAAGTCCCCCCCCCCAAAAAAAAGTAAAAGATAACTATTGGTACTTTTCATTGCAGAATGTAAAAACACATCAGAGTATCTTTTATGTACCTTTGCATCAGAATATCTCATAGCAAACCTTTGCTTTGGGGACAGTATGTACTTGCCAATGTTGAAAATTCCCCCAAAAAAACAAAATTGGTAGAATATAATTTTGTGTATGAAAAACACCTTTCAATCCAAAATAGATTTCCAGTGCACCAGTGGCTCATATCAATAATCCTAGCCACTTGGGAGGATGTGATCCGATTTATCTGGCCAGCCTGGACAGATAAATCCAAGGAACTCTTATCTCTAATTCATTAGCAAAAAGGACAGAAGTAAAGATGTGGCTCAAATATAGAGTGCCAGCTTTGAGCAGAAAAACTTAAGTGAGAACATGAGGTCCTAAGTTCAAGTCCTAGTACCGGTACAACACCACCAACAAAAAATTAGATTTACAACTGAGACACTGAAAGCAACTGACTGCATCACTTGTTTTCCAGTCTTATATTTCCCAATGGTGCAAAGATTTTTCTGCACAAATATCCAATTTATTTTTTAAAAGAGGTGATCAGGGGCTGGGAAGGTGGCTCAATGGTAGAGCGCTTGCCTTGCATGCATGAGGCCCTGGGTTTGATTCCTTACCACCACATAAGCAAAAAGAAAAAACCCGGAAGTGGCACTGTGGCTCAAGTGGTAGAGCGCTAGCCTTGAGCTGAAGAGCTGAGGGAAAGTGCCCAGGCCCAGAGTTCAGGCCCCACGACCGGACCCCAAAAAAAGAAGAGGTGATCAGGGCTGGAGATGGAGCCTAATAGTAGGTCTATCTTGCCAACAAATGAATGCACAAATAATTTTGATATTTTCCCTGAAATTTTTCTTTCCAAATGAGAGCTCATGGATTCGCTGATACTTTGAGCTTGATTATAGTATTTGTACCTGAAGGAAGGTTTTAGCAGAAGGCCGGCATTCATATATCTGTTCTTTTCTGTACTATCACCACTGCAGAGGATCTGCTGGCCCCACCTCGTGACACCAGCACGGACCTCACCGAGGTCATGGAGCAGATCAACAACACATTTCCATCTTGCTGCGGTGAGTAGGCCAGTGCCCTGCCTTTTCCTGCCCTCATCCCAACACTGCTGGGGAGACGGAGCTTCCGCTCCTGAGATTTGTAGTGCCCCTTAGGTGTGACAGTGAAGGCATATACACTGATGTCTGGTTTTAAGAACAAATTGTTCTCTTCAGTGCAGGCTATCATAATAAACTTCCATTATATTGAAGAAGAGCTTTTAGTGGGAAAGGCATGAAAATAGCCTTTCTAATGTACTTCTCTCTCTTCAGACATTGTTGTTGGATACGATACAAAAAGAGATTATGTTCAGACTTCTTTCTTTCTTTTTGTTGGCTGGTTTTTCTCATGGAATAAAATAATCCTTGAATAAGAGCCAAATAATTTAAATAATTTAAGGCATCACAGATTATGACTCTGTGAATTTTCCATAGGAACAACCAAGAACCAGAAAATTGCCAAATAAACAGTTGAGATCCCAAAGGAAATTATATAATGATTCTAATTTATTGATTTTTGTTTTCCAAATGGTATGTGTTTGGCATCTTGCCATGCTGTGCTTTCTGCTGGGCTCTCACCTGAGAGACCTCTGTGGTTTTAAACAGCAGTAGTCTCTCTCAGAGTCTGTATATATAGAGAGAGAGATGCAGGACTTTTATTTAAAATAGTCTTTTGAGAGCCGTGTCCTCTTTGATTGCAAAGTATACAGTCACTGAACTATGGAGAAAGAGACAGAGAGACAGAGCCAGAGAGAGAGAGGGAGGGAGAGAGGGAGAGAGTGTTGATACTGGGGCTTGAACTCAAGGCTTTGTACTCTCCCTTAGCTTTTTCACTCAAGGCTGATACTCTACCACTTGCCCAGGCTGGCTTTGAAGCAAGATCATTAGACTCCCCTATCTGGATGCCAATGATTCATGACTATAATCCTAGCTAAACTAAGATTTTAAATAAACTATGACCTCTTATTTTACCCTTTGCTGTCATTTCTTCAGATAATAGCCTTCTTAAATGAGGAAAAAGGTACTGTCAATTATCAATAATATAAATAAATAATATATACTAATTTCACTATAATTTTTTCCTTCATTTTACACCACTCTGTAGTTTAAGAAAGGTGGGCATCCTTAACAGGGTGCAGAAACAAATATTTAAATATATTCTTCTTGTACATTATAAATATGTATGAAAATGACATAATGAGTTCCCTTTTCCTCCCAAAAAATACTGAAGGAGGAGGGGGGAGGGATTGAAAGAGTAATATAGATGGAGTAAGTCTGATCAAAGCAGATTCTATGCATGTTGTGACTATCACAACGGAGAGAGTTTGGCAATTAATTTATGCTAATTAAAATTAAAAAATAAAGCTGAGCGCCAAAGGCTCATGATTCAAAGCTAGCCCAGGCTTCTTAGCTCAATTAACTACCAAAAAGGCAGACATAGAGCTATGACTCAAGTGCTAGTGCTCTGGCCTTGAGCAAAAAAACAAAAAACAACTCAGTGACAGCATCTTGGCCCTGAGTTCAACCCTAATACCAGCACATACACATACACACAGAGAAAAGAAAAATTAAAAGTAAAATAAAACATACTCTGAATTTTCAAGAATATTACCCTGAAGGTTATACTACATTTTATTAATATATACATATATATCTGCATTGAAGGGTTTTATTTGTAATTCTAATATTCAGCTTCTCAGAGTTCTCAGGATCACATTTACAGTATGTCAGTTCTCACATTTACTGTTCACAAAGTGTATACATGCAAGCGTATGTACACTTACACTTCAGACTCTGTAGTGTCCAAAAGCTGAAGTGTCAGTGTCCACTTACCATTGTATTTTTGCTTATTGACCAGGCTGCATGTAGCCACTGTAATAGATAAAGTTAATCTGTTGCATGAGTTCTCTACTCAAGATTGAACTGTATTTGAAAAGCTTTGGCTCTGAGTTATGTTTTAGTTAATGACTACATGAAAATAAGGCAGAATTTCAAGTTCAGTTTCAAGAGTATTACTTTGTAGTATAGCTCATACCAAATTTATAATTACAGAACAAATTCTAATCAATTAAATAATGTTTACCAAATTTTAGTTAATTGTGGTCATTTAATTAGTGGTCATTTTTCAGTTTAAAAATCGGTTTTCAGTAATAGCCAATTTGTGTATAAATAATGTGCTTTGTATTGAAAATAAAGTATAATTTCCAGATTAAGAATTGTATACTACAATGGTGTTCAAAAAAACAACAACCTAGCACCACAGTTTGAACTTAGGACTTCACGTTTACTTGACTTGCTCACTCAGCTGGTGTTCTACTACTTGAGCCACATCTCCAACCCAGTTTTTCTCCTAACATCTATTATTCTGGAGAGATTGAATTTAACAAACTTTTCAGCTTGCTTGGCTTTTAACCCAAATCCTAAGATCTTAGCTCCCCAATGTCTAAATTAAGGCACAAGCCACTGGTACTCAGCTTACAACATTTTTTGGGGGGGAAAGTTATAGGAAAGTTTATTAGGAAATAAATTTGGAAGAGAAAGAAATTACATGGCATAGATAGGCCACAGAAAAACAACATCCTAGTTCACCTTCAGCCATACTCCAGGCAGACATTGCATTAGGTTTAAGTAGAGTAGTTAGTGGCAGGGGACAAAGATATGTATAGCTTAAATGTCCAGGTTATAGATGTGGCCTGACTGGTCATTATCACAGTTCTGATTCTTCTGGGTTCTGAAGATGTTGTTATTGCTGTCAGCAATTGAGGGAGCAATCTGGTTCCCATGAAATCATTTTTCTGGCTCCAAGGTACAGCCTATCATTATGTTACTTATCCTCATTTGGGGGCTGTGCTGTTCCTTAGGGTTACTTTTAGTGCTTGCCACAAAGAGCTTAGATATCAATCCAGTCTTGTCTGGCATTCAAAGTAAGAAACACTCTTAAATCTTTCTCAAGGTATAAGCTGATGTGTGTATTTTGCAAAGGACTGATCCATATGCCTTGTTTAAAACAAAACAAATAAAATTAATCATCATAGTTGTAAAGGAAAATTGAGTCTTTAGAGGTAAATGTGTTTATCTCATGTTATGACTGTCCTTTTAGAGTTAGCATTGTTTGAAAATATCATCAACTGGCTATTTATGGTCACAGGGTTCTTGAGCTGTGTTTATCTTTCAGGGCTTGTACGTCACAGAGGCTAAACCTCTTCTGTGTCATTCTCAGTCATGGTAGATTAATCTGTGCAATTCAGTAATTCATGGAGGCCTGAGATTCCTTCACGGGAGGCTGCCTCCATGTTCTCCTACATTTGGTCATCCACAGATATTTATAATACTTGTACATTTCTCTGAATGAGCATTACTAGTTATGTGTTCTTTTGAATAATTTAAATATCTTTCTTGTGAGAAATGATGAATAGTATCTGTTAGAACTCTGTGAATTTTAGATATTAGGTGGGTGGGTGGATGGATGGATGGATGGACATATGTTTTTGTTTTGGCTTCTGAATGTCGCATCATTAATTTGAGTTCAGTTTGTTTTTGGTGCTGGGTTTTTTTTAAGAAAAAGGAAGGAAAAGAAGAGAGTAAAAAGCTTAAAGGACTTATTAACAACACTGATATTTAATTCTGCCTACTGTAATTAAATACGTTGAAAAAGTGATACAGAATCAGTCAGTATGTGGCATAGATGATGCCTAGTTCATTACTTTTTTGAATGGAAGGAATAGATGAGTGAATGGTTACATTTCTGACTGGCAAGGTTTCATTATTTAGGTTTTACTGCTAATTCTCAGAAAGTTTCTTTGCTGAGTACTCCTTGTAGGTTGCTCTGCTAGCAAATATTTGAATAAGGCTTCACAAATCCCAAAGAATACTGGCCACCTTTGGAGGATTTACCTACACAAATCAGATTGGCACCCTCCCAAGGGCAAACCAGTCTCTCAATCCCCTATGACTAATGAGAACTTTAAAATTGCTTGTCATCAGCAAAGGATGAATTGATCTGCATGTTAATCTTGACTTTTGATCCTTTGTGGATTAAAAATTAGCATGGCCACAAATTAATTTCCACTCCTGGCAGTCTTGGAATTAAAATGAAACTCTGCAACTATAAATCCTAATTGCACAAATCGCTTATTTTAACATGACACTTTTTAACTATATCTCATAGTATTGAATGTAACACCTCAGAATTCCAGGGTCTGGGTTAATATCCTACTTAGTCTTACAGTATCTTTGAATGAGGACCTTTTAAAATCTGTTAAAGTGATGGTGAGCTTTAGAACAGAGTCAGGCATTGACCTCTTTTCCCGTGAAAGAATTAAAAAGGGGCATTTAAGTGTCCTGTCAATTAACCAATGTATATACCAAATATCCACTGGCTACCGTATCCAGTTTCTTTTCAGTGTGATATATTTTGACACTTTTTTCCTGTTAATATTCTTCAAATATACGGATACTGCTAGTAATAGTAAGCTAAGTAATTGTTGCCAACAGACCAAGCAAGTGCTTTTAAAATTATTAACTTGCCAGTGTATTCCTACTGTGAAAAGTCTATGTTTCTTAAGCTTGAAGTGACATTAATCAAAAATCTAAAACCTTCTGAAATTTTTCTCTTAAAGTGTATTTGTAAGATGTGTCTAGGAGGGTACCTGTAGCTTTTTATTTGGTGAAAAGCTATCGGGTTAAAAGTACTGATTTGGAGTAAAATTGGTTAGACTTCTGTCTTGGGTTTGACTATTTGTTTTATTTCATTATTACTAGAAAAGAGTTACTGTCTCTTATAGATAAAGTATGTAAACATAGCACGTACATACTTAGTAATAATTTAGGTCAGATATCCCTGGGGTATAGCTCATATCCTAATGGAAGTTCCCTGGTTTTTCTTTGATGCCTAATACATACATATATCTGATAAGACTGGGCTTGAATTAGATTCTTCTCCCAGCTGCTTTTCCTCCAGGCCTCACACAGATGCCAGTCACTGGTGACTTTCCCCTTCAGTGTAGAATAATTGGGAGATGGAAGAAATGCAATGTGCTACAGCATTAGAGACAGCCCTGAATGTGACTAGGAACAGACGCTGCCAATCCTGAGGAGTGTAGATCCTCCTTCCTCCTCCTGAAAGGAGAGAGACCTTGGAGAAGAAAGCCATCAAGCCACCAGATGAGATCAGCAACTTGATGATGGTGCCCCCCAAAACAAGAAAGAAATGGAACTATTTGGTTATGACAGTATCTCCTCCGGTGGGCACAGCCAAACAGCATTATTAACCCAAGCATTCAGAAGGCTGCTGAGCAGGCATGCAGCTATCAACTGTTGGCACGAACAGAATTTGCACAGATAATTTCCTGTGTGACATGATTGAAATAGGAAATTTGGAAGACTTACCTTTTGTTTTGTAGTAAAACCAAGTCTTTCCTGAATGCTTTAGTGCAGATTTTTTTAAAGAGCTGATACCCGTTTTGTATATTTTGGGTAGAATTGTTCTACTTTATGAGTTATAAGCTAATTGGGAAAATTAGCCTTTGTTTAAAAGCACTCAGCCTGGGGTTGAGGGAGTCATGTTGGTATTTGGGGCTCACAACCATTTAAGAGCTGAGAGCTATTATGCCAGTCTGGGTGGTGCCTTGTACACATTTGCATTCAGGAAGGTGAGAAGCAACCATAGAGCCTCTATTGATTGATTTCTTCTGTTTTCTCTTGCAGCAAATGTCCCCAGCAGGCCACAGGTAAGAGTTAATGGCTTGATTAGCTTCCAACCTGGAGTAAACAGATTAGCAACTATTGATTTTGTCTTACTTCATTTTCATGTAAATAAGTAAACTTACTTGACTTTGTGGTTCTGTTCCAGTTTGTCGGTGGGGGTAGGTGTGGGCTGGGAAGGGGTGGAGGAGACTTTGGGGAAAGAGTGGGACTTCCCAGAGGGCAAAGTAATTATTTGATTCTCTGTCCTGACATTAATATTACATAAATTATAAAGTCGCCTGGGGTAGACGTGGCCAGACACTCATTTCCCAAGTCTACTTATGGTGGCTAGCACAGAGCATTGTCTTAAAAAAACAGGGTCTTGTCAGGTACACGTGGCTCATGCCTGTAATCCTAGCTACTCAGGAGGCTGAGATCTGAGGATCACTGTTCAAGGCAGGCAGGAAAGCCTGTGAGACTCTTATCTCCAATTAACCACCAGAAAACTGGAAGTGGCACTGTGGCTTAAGTGGTAGAATGCTAGCCTTCAGCTGAAGAGCTGAAGGACAGTGCCCAGGCCCAGAGTTCCATTAAATGTCCATTCAATTTTTAGGGATCTGTTGGTAGCTCTGTCCTTAAGCCTTCCGCTGTTTCCTTTCCAAGAACCTTGGTGTTGATGTGCTAAGTTGGAGAGCTTTGTTTTCATGCATTTGTTTATTACTCTCTTCAATGAGTCTTAGGATTTGATTTCCTTTTTGGCCACCGAAGACAGCTAAGAGACAAAGGTGTGTGAGGCAGACTTGATATAGAGGGAAAGCTGGATGCCTTCTCTTTGCTTCTGTTGCCCTAGTGAATTGAAAGCAAGGTCTTCAGAAGGGAGTGAGGTAAAACAGGTGTGTAAGGAGAGCTAAGGGGGATGTGCTTGGAGATCAGAAAAGCACATAGTCCCCCAAATAAACTGTCCAGCAATCAACATGAAGAGTAGTACGTTTTAAAAAGTTGAAGTTGTGGTTTAAGCAACAAGAGTACAGCAATTCGAAAGAAAAGACAAAGAAGTCATTAGAACCTTAAGCTCAATGTGGGGAGAAGTAAGATCATGTCTGATATAGGAAGTGGTTGGGAGGGGCATAGGGGGAGCAGTACTGTCTGGATTTTAAAGGATGAATAAAGCTATCATTCTAGCAGAAGAGAACAGAAAGTTCAAATGTGGTTGTCAGAATGTGGGATGGTTCGTACTGAAATGTTAGAGGAATTTTAAGTGCTAGCCTGTTTTGCACCTTCAAATTAACAACTAAGAAGTTCAAGGACAGAATCAAGAGAGAAAAGCAGCTCAAAGAAACTGGGGACCAGAGTGTGAGTCAAATCATCTGTGTGAGTGCTGAAATCACTTAAAATTTGCTTTGAAGTGGGGGACATTAACACTTTTTCACCCCAAGAAGTAAACCTCAGCACCCTTTCGGAGGCCTACGAGGAGACTCATAAGTACATGATGGCTGAGGGGAAAGATTTCAAGTAGTTTGAGTTCAATAGTCCCAAGATGTTGGCAAGGCTGTAGTAATGGAGGCCCCAGGAAAGAAAGCTAGAATTTTCTTATCAGTCCCCAGATACCGTATAGATACTGAAGATTTAGACCAGAAAGCAATCCAAGACCTTCTCAGGTGTAGTGGGTTTTAATACAGTTAATTGATTCAAAATTTTAACAAACATCTGCCTCCTTATAACAAAGCCCTCCTCCATTTTGAACTAGCTGTGTCAAATTCATAGAAAGTATATGTTTTACCCAGTTAGTTTTACTCATGTTTGATTTGCTTGCTCTTACGTATTTGGGGAAATTACTGTTACTAATTACAAATCCCTTTAGCCTTTATCCTCTATTTAAATCTGCTATCTGCTATTGTTATGCCTCCAAAGTTCCTCAGCTTGACTGGTAGGCCCTGGTCCTGTGTTAGCCAGGACTCGGAGTGTGTCGTAGAGATAGCTTTCATACCTGCTTTGCCAGGAAGGCCTCATCTCAGTGCCCTGTTGCCCAACACATGCCTGGAACCCACTGAGTCTGCTATCAATGTGGGATGAATTATTTTTACTCCTTCCAACATGGCAGTGATGTTTTCAAAAACACAGACATGACTTAATAGAAATAGACTCTTCAGTACTCGTCAAATGAGTTTGCTGCTTCTAGTACAACTGAGAGAAGAGGAACACCTGGGGAAGATTTTCCAGAAACTTCTTTAAGAGTATAGTTCTCTCTCAGGATAGACCCTCATGTCAGTGTCCTCCATAAAATAAAGAGGTGTCTTTCCTAGGAGTCCAAAGAGATCCCTTATAATTCAAAGGGAATGGGCCCATTCAGATGTTTTTAATCTCACAGCAATTTAAAAGTAAATAATTCTGAATACAAAATCCTTAAGACCAACATATCTTGGAAAGATGAATGTCACTCCCTTGATTATGTACTGGATTTCAATCCTCTAGCCTGAGATATTGAAGTTTAACAGGCACTTCTGCACATCCTTTGATTATCATTCCTGGCTTCTTTTCCTTCTGTCTGGGTCCTACTCTGTGGCCAAGAGGTTAAGATTTATTTCCAGGGTGACCCCTGTACAAGGGACCTCTCACAGTCTTCCAGACAGGAACAGAGATGCCTTGTTTTTTGTTTTTAATTAACCTCATGCACTCATCATCAGTCCCTCCCACAGACAAAGCGAATTTCTCTCCATTTCAGTTCTGCTTCCAGCCTGGCCAAGATAAAGACATTCACTCTAACTTCTTTTTTTACTCTGGTAACAAAAAACTGAGTAGGTGACTTCCAGGGGAGACCTAAGGACCTCATCCCACGGAGCAAAAGCCATGTGGCTATTAGTTCCCTTCAAGTATGCAAAGTAAGGATTTGCTAGTTCTGAAAAAAGTATTGCTATGTCCTAGAAACGGTTACCTCTTTGCAACACTGTCGTCTGCAAACATTTTTCTGACAGAATGCTTTTCTCTTTTCCTAGGCAATGTGAAGCATTCATCTAGCCAAACAACATTTCCCGACTCAGTATTGCCCGTTTCTGCAAATGCCAATTCCAAGTTCCATTTAATCCAAGGCGCCATGGCTCTTTGACATGTGCTGTTGACTGTGTGTTCTACTAAGCGAGTAAAACACTGACTATCCAAAGAGAAAGGATATTTTGTTTTTATAATAACCGCATATTATTGTTTTCTTCTTCCCTTTCTATGCAACTGTAAATTAATGAACAGAGAGGTATTTGGTAATGGTATTTGTCACTGATTTGTATAAAGTATACAAGCATTGGGAAAGTGGGTGGGGGCTTTCTAATATGACACTGTCTTTTTAATAACCGTGACAAAAATTGCATATACATTAGAAGACTGTCTTACATTTTTACATTCCTTCTGCTGTTCATATTAACCTTGTACAATAACTTCATTTATTTTGTTACATCCTTTACCCCATTACATTTTAGTTATTTATCAGTTCACCAACCACATGACCAAGTAGATTCTGTGTATTTGTTATTTGTTTCTATGATTTGGCCAAATTAATAAGCTCATGTATTTGAATCAAATATTATATATATTCATATAATATTGATTAATTGACAACTCTTAAGTATGCAGTTTAACTTTATGGAACATTATACACGTAGTTCATTAGTCACCACTTGGTATCCACAAAAAAATCCTAAATGGCATGTCTAGTGGGATTTTTTTTCCTGCTTTTTTATCCTTTTTTTCTATAACTTTATTTATTTCCTATCCCAATCTATATGAGAGGGAAGACTGCATTAGAAATTATTTCTCTAGGATCATTTTACCAAAGGTTTCCTATGAAAGCATATTTTCATTTTGACATAGAAACAAAACTTGATTCAACCTTCCAGGCCACAGGCCTTGAATTTCATCATTAAATACACAGCAGACCTTTTAACAATTGAGTGAGCAGAGCACAAGAGAACTAAAGATATATTTTCAAGGCCTTTATGATTCTTGAAACTCGTAGTTGCTTTCCTTATGAAAGCAAACCCAAATTTATGTCTCTGCGTCTTATTTTACCTTTTGGGTAAATGGACGAGGTGTCCTTTTAACTTTCAGTAGATTAAGACATTTAGGAAGGATTTTTTTTTAAGAGCCTTTGTCATTGCTTCTACAGAAAAATGGGAGTTTGTGCTTAGATGATTGTACTCTGCCTCTACCTTTGAGTACATTCAGTTATGGTTATTGATTCCATTTTTTAAAAAAATTACACTTAGTTGCATTATTATAATTTCTTTAATTATCAAACGTAAAGAAACCAAAAAGAAAAAAGAAAATAATATGTTTTGCTTCAAGCATATTGTGCTTTTTAAACATCAGAACATCTTCGCTTTGAGCTCTCTTACACTGGAATGTGCCAGGAGAGGCTGAAAGTTAGAAAGTGCTATTCTTTTAGGATAGGCTGGGTGGGTTGGGGGGCAGGGGTGTCTATTTGCAGCATAGATATTTTGAGAAGAAGAAAATTGTTTTATATAAGAGGAAAGCCATGACCACCTTTCTACCTCAGATCCATCTTTCATTGTGTTGGAAATAGCTTTATGTCGCTGCAGTCTGTAAAGTGTAGAGCTTTTATCAGGCCATATCATACCCAAGAAAGTACCTATTTAAAGAAAATGATTCCTTGAATTCAGAGCTCCAAGTTGTAAATTTGGTGTCTTCCTTGTTCTTATTTTGAGAAGTCATATAGTCATTGTTTTCTGCCTGTATTTGTATGCAGAATGTTCTCTATCTGCTATTTCAGAAAACCTGCAGTAAAACACTACATTGTAACCTAAATAACAGTTTAAAAAAGACATACATTGCAGTAACAACAATGGGAAATAAGTATATTGTTCTTTTGAAATATGTGATAAAGAACTAATCGTAAACGTATCATCTAACCTGGTTACATGCTGTATTTTCATCCCAAATAAAAGTAATTTTAACACAAAATGATTTTGGCATTCTTAGCTATGTTTACTGATAGAATTTGTCTTTGAATATACATTGATGAAAATGAAGTAGAGTCTACCCTGACACTTCTACATCGTTTCTAGCAATTTCTCTCATATATACCAAACTACTCTCCTTTGCCCTCGTTATCTCTTTCTCTTCTCTCTTACACACAGGTAAAATTTATATAATTTTCAATTTCATTACAGATTGAAAGCTCATTAAAAGAGAAGAATGTCAAATGTCAAAAATATATACATAAAGCCTATTAAGCCTTCATTTATAATGCTAGATATTTTTGGAATTTAGTTGATTATGCTTTCAAATCTACTTTTACCCTTAAGCTCTAAACTCCTGTGTTTTTATTCCTGTCCTGGATTTTAAACACTCAGGTATCAGAGTATCAGGTATCTGCTGCTGCTCTATGGGAAATAATGTTAAGAATCAATGTTGGGCTGGGAAGGTGGCTCAGTGGTAGAGCACTTGCCTTGCATGAAGCCCTGGGTTCGATTCCTCAGCACCACATAAGCAAAAAGAAAAAAGCCGGAAGTGGTGCTGTGGCTCAAGTGGTAGAGCGCTAGCCTTGAGCTGAAGAGCTGAGGGACAGTGCCTAGGCCCAGAGTTCAGGACCCAAGACCAGCAAAAAAATAAGTCAAAAAAGTCAATGTTTCTCAATTCTAAAATTAAAATCTCTCTGTGGTGGAGAAAAATTCCCCCAAATACAATTTATTTAAAAAGATAACTGATATGTTCTTGTGAGCTAATATTTTATACAGCTTGTTAAAGCCAAAACAATATTGTATGTACTAAGAATGCCTAAGGAAACAGAGACACAAACACATTCAACTCAGAATCAGATTGCTAATACTGAAAAAATAATTTATATGTATATATTTATATATACATAATATATATATATTATATAAAGGTGTTTTTCTACTGCCAACAGGGAACACTGGTATTCTTGGAATGAAAAACATTTGTATTTCTGTGTTTTAGAAACAACTAGTACAACACCACTGAGCAGTGCAGACCTCCAGCATCCAGCTGTTCTTCTTCTAAGGCCCTATTTTCTCTATATTTTAGAAGAACTAAGCATTTGTTCAGGAAAACATGAGATAATTCTTTTGAAACATAATTTCTGAAAAACTGAAGATAGGAGCTAGTACTATAGAATTTACTACTAGTAAGTTTACGTCTGATACTTAATAACCATAAAAGCTGTCCCCAAATCTGGTTGCTTAATTTATTTCCTCCTGGCTGTGTAAATATTGGCAGGACGCATTCAATCACCTCAAGATTCCTCTATGAAACCCTTCTTGCCACGTCTGTAGAAACTAATAATCCTTGCCTTTAGTGAACACCTTCTGTGTTGGAAGACATTTTTACCAAGCTCATCCTCATGGCTCCAGTTCCCCAAGCCCAGCTGGCCGACCATGATGGCTTCATTTCAGAGATGAGAGGCGCTGCTGGGTAAGGATGTCTGCTCAGCAGGCAGTGTGCAGAACTGGGTTCTCCGCTCATCTAGGCCCTCGCTCCAGAGTTCAAGTCTCACCTTTACAAACAACCTTTGAGAAGGACAGGAGTTTCCCAGGCGGTTCAACCAGCATCCATCAAGTTAAAACTCTGAGGCCAGGATATCATGAAGTGAAGCAGTTTGGGAGTAATAATTGTATAGCAGAACTGCAAACCTTCCTCCCTGTTCCTTACAAGATAGAGGACTAGAAAAGGCAGAATTGGGTATTTCTTGTGCCATCCCTAACTCTCACTCCAGATATCCTGGGCATGGAGCCCTATCACCGTGCAGAGGGGAGAATTAATCATAGCCATCGCCTCTGGTTGTCAGGCTATCACCTACTTTGGTGCCAGGTTCCATTTTTCCTCTCTGATTATTCCATCTTATTACTGCTCTCCCTCTCTCCCCTGTCCCCATACTCCAAAGCACACATTTCAATGTGTTGATATTATGCTATTTTGTGTGCTCTTGAAAACCATGCTTCTGGCTTCTGTCCAACCGTGTGCATGCTGACCCCTCACAGTGAACCCTTGAGACCAAGAATAAGAACCCAAGTCCTACCTCGGTCCCTTTGCAGCCAAAGATATTTCCAAAGCCAGCTCTGCTCTACAAATATTCCATTCAAACCGAGGACAAAGCTGCCTATCTTGCCGCTCACAGGATAGCAAGAAACCAAACGTCGTAGTTGTGAACCATGGCTAAGTGTTACAAAACCGTTTTAAGCTATAAATTATTAAAGACTATAAAACTCAGCACCTATGTCTGGTTTTATCTCCGAATTTATCTGTGCCGTGAAACACAGATATGACCACTTTCTCAAGCAACCCGAAGTTACCCCCATGTAGGAAAATTCTGATCCAAAGACTTATTTGGGCCTCCCTTAAATTTTTGTTAATAACCCAATCCCCACTGTGACTGTACTTGGAGAAGCGAGTGGTAATAAGGAGCTGATAATGTTTCAATGAAGGCACAAGGTAGGACTCTAGTCCTACAAGACTAGTGTCCTTTGAGACGAAGAAGAGGTGCCAGAGCTCTTTCTCTCACCACATGAACACAAGGGAAGGTCATGTGAGTCCTGTTCTATCTGATGGACACTGGGTAATATATTTAGAAAAGAATTCTTTCACTGTTCTGGGGGTTGTTGAATTCAATGTCATGGTTCTGGAATCTCACAACTTTCATACTGCATTGTTTCATTGCAGAAGGGAAGAAGGTCAAAGGGCAAATACAGGTGTGCAGAAAGTCATATAATGGGGAAGGATGAGGGAGATGGTTCTATAACCAATGATGACTAAGCCACTTTTCAAAGTGACAACAGTCACTCATGACTGCCCTCACAATCGAGTTACCTCTAAAAGCCCCATTTCTGAACACCATAAAAATGGCACGTATAATCAACGGGAGTTTTAAAAGTCACTCAGTCCATAGTAAAAGCTATCTAAAGACTCTGGTACCTTGACCTTACACATCAAGCTCTCAGAGCTGTGAGGACGTGAATTTCTATTGTGGAGGATACCCAGCCTGTGATATTTTGTTAAGGCAGCAGAGCCAGCTAAAACTCAGACACTCCTGGACACTGATTTATACCCAAATATCTACCCAAGGGAAAGACCTTTAGGAAATGTAGCTTCCAACCCAGGGATGTTTCTGACATGTTGGAATCAGAAGCCATTCTCAACGTGACATTAAAATGTGCATTGTGTGCTGGAAGGAAGTCAAGAGTGGAAAGCCAGAACTGCTTCTTGCCACAGGTCCGCCAGATCATGGGGGCACATCCCTTAAAAAACACAGTGACCCAACAGTTGCTTCCGAGAGTGTACCTCAAAACAGCAGCAGCAAACTCCAGGTGATTCACTGGTTTCTCTTACAAACACCTACAGCAGGAAAACAAAGACTGGGGAGCCTCTGGTTGGTGGTAGGGCAGTGAATCAACTAGTTTTTTCCTCCTTCGATAATGCATCATTCAATCTCCCCTTGAATACTATTTCAGGCTTTGTCGATCTAATTGGTAAATGGAACTGACGGTATTCTACTTCTGGTGCTGGAATTCCTCTTAAGAGTGGGAGTATAAACTTGTTCAACCACTTTGGAAAGTATGGAGGTTCCTCAGACTCCACATAGAGCTTCCCTAGGAACCAGCAATCCCACTTTTGGGCATTTACCCAAATGATCACAAACAAGACCATACTAAAGTTACCAGCACAACTATGTTTATTGCAGCATTATTTACCGTAGCTAAGATATGGAACCAACCCACATGCCCTCAGATGGATCAAGAAAATGTGGTATATATACACAAAGGAAACCAATTTCTGTGTGTAGAAAAATACAGGAGCATGGGGACAACCAGTGATAGGTCATGGGCTCCAGGAAGGGCAGGGCTGTTCCGTGGGTGGTAGAGGAAGAAATTCGAGGGAGTGAGGAGGGCAAAAATACAACAATAAAACCAGTAAGAGCTGATTTAAAGAAAGAAAGATCTGGGATAAGTCCTTTCCCTGAGACTCCTCACATCTCCTGTAAAGTCCCCGTGTCATGCGCTAAGTGTGTGTGTGTGTATTGTACACTCAAGTGAAAAGTGGGGCTTGTGAGTGAGGTCACTTATCTGGACCCAACAGTGGAGACACAAGGCATTCTGGCCAAACTAACCATCAGAATTAGAAGATTTGCTGGATACTGATAGTTAACGCCTGTAACCCAAGCTACTCAAGAGCCTGAGGTCTGACGATCATACTTTGAAGCCAGCCCAAGCAAACAAACCTGTGAAACTCATATTTTCAATTAAGCAGAAAATAAATAAACAAACAAAAGATACCAAAGTGGATGTATGGTTCAAGTAGTAGAGAGCTAGCCTTAATCAGAAAAGCCAAGAAAGAGTATGAGTCCTTCAGTTCCTCGGTTCAGTACACACACACACACACACACACACATACACACACACAATTTGAAGAGTTCATGGCTGAAGGTGCTCGTTGCAATAGGTCATTGAAACATGACTACCTGAGTCAAATTGACCCATAAGAACCTTGGAACGCATTCAAGTTACATGAATAGAAGCAGAGAACTAAGTGCCCCCAACCATCTTAGGCATCTGAATAGAGTTTGAAGGAATCTCTTAATTAAATTAGCTCCCTTGCAAGGATGTGATATTGTTCTAGATGCGCTGTACTTATGAACTGAATTGTAGAACTGAAATCCCTTTGTACAGGGGTAACGATGATGATCATGATGATGATAAATCTGCATTGCAACCTAACCCTCTCTTTCACCTTAACCTTCAAGTTTCTCAGGAAAGTTGGGTACAGGAAGTATAAGGTGAGGATGGAGAATCACACTAGGATGCAAAAAGGGCAACTACTAAGAAAGTCACTGCTGAGCATTGTGGGGAAACAGCTCCACAGGGGGCCGGAGTTTACTGAAGGCAACTACTGAACTGAGCAGGGGTGGCCATCAGTTTGTCAGCTCAAATCCAATCAGATCTCCAGAT